TATTGTTATGTCATTTTTGAAAGAAAGGCATCTCCCTCTTCCCCTCTCCCCATCTCCCTGTCTCTCCCTCTCTTTCCCCTATCCCTCTTCCCCTCCCCTCCCTTTTTCCCATTCTTGTCCCTATCCCTATTTCTGTTATTGCAAAAAGAAGTTAGTTGGGGGCAGCCATGTGTGTACAGGGTGTTCCTGGATTCCCAAGGCCCCTAACACAGTTGGCCGTGTGGAGAATCTCGATGTCTCCTCCTGAGAGGAGGGCTGCGGTAGGGGAGTAGAGTCCAGGGCATTCCCTCGATCCCAGAACCCACAGGAGAAAGGGGGAGGGAGTAAGGAAAGGGGACAGACCCTGGAGCCCTACCTGCACTAGGGGTTAAGTGGAGAGGCCAGACACAAAGGAAGGGGAATCTTGCAGAAATGCAGCCCTCAGCAGGCCTGGAGGCAGACAGACAGACTGGAAGATTGGACAGTTGGTCAGCTGAGCCGCTTTCCCCGAGTGACCTCACACACCCGGCTTACTCACTAAGGGCCAGCCTCATTCTTGGCTTGCCAGAGGTCTAGCGGAATGGAAGGATGAGAATGCCAGTCCCTCCCACTTTCTCCTTCCAGCCCAGGAAATAAATCTGTAGATTGTTAGAGATCATCTGACCCATTGCCTTCATCGTGCTTTCAGAGATTCAGAGATGGAAAATAATTACACCGGGTCAGAGAGTGAATCAGCCAGAGTTAGGACTTGAATCCAGATCTCCCCACTCCTAGTTTAATGTTCTTTTCCACTCCACCCTATATACAGCTTCAGCCTCATTAGTGGGTAGAACCCCGTGGATCATAGAGGTCTAAATTGTTAATCCCTAGTCAGAGATTCTTTTGGGGTGGAAATCTAGAAGTGAAATGGGGGACTTGGGGCCATGTCTCAGTGTGACCAGAATGAATGGTGGTGGAACCTTAGAGCTGGAAGGGAACTTTTGAGATCTGGTCTGATCTCATTTTTATCAGAAGGGGAAACTAGGATCTAGAGAAGGGGAAGTGACTGGCCCCAAGGATACACAGCTCCTTGGTGGTAGGACTGGGGCTGGAACCCAACACCAGGGTCAGAAGCACTGGCACTAGAAGGATTTCTTCTGGGTGATGGACTGTTTGGTTCCCAAGGAAGGTGGGGCTGGCAACTTTCTAGAACACAACTAGTGAGGGTCCTTAGGGATATCCAGTGGTGTTGGGTCCACTATCAATTTGTTCCCCTTTTAGCAAGTTTCTATGGAGGCCAGGTAGAAAGAGCTGAGGCTGGAAAATGAGTCAATCATACTACTTGAATTCTAAGGTTCCTACCGGTTCTATCCTGTGATTTTTTTTTTTTAGAACCTATGCCCTTTCTGATGGAGACCTTTCTCTTCCTCTTCTCCTTTCCCTTTCCCCTTCCCCTCCTTTCCCTTCTCTTTGCTTCCTTTCCCAATTTTCTTCTCTTTCCTTCCTTCCTTCCTTGTCTAGCCTTAAAAGGAAACCATATGGGCCACTATAAGGAGTTAAAGATAATCCTTTGCTTGATCATAGCCCCATAAAGCATTCTCAGTCCTGTGTCTGAAAGCTGCCCAGAGTCTGTGCTGTCTCTCTGTCTCTGTCTGTCTCTATCTCTCTCTATCTCTCTTTCTCTCTGTCTCAGGCTCTGTCTCTCTCTCTCCCTCCCTCCCTCCTGGCTTTCTGGTGATCTAGGATGAGGCTGTAGAAGAAGAGAGGAGGAGAGGATGGTCCCTCAACTCAGCCCTTCTGCTAGCTGAACTCTTGATTAGGTTACATTTCTGTGATGTGGATCTGCTGATTCCTTCTTGTTCTGACTGCAGGGCGCTGAGATATCGTTTAGGTGATGATACAGATTTATCTGAGAAGTTTGGGGTATACTCTCAATATCTGTGAACAAATAGGAATTTTTTCAATTTAATTTTTTTAGTTAATTAAAATATACCTTCTTTCCCTCCCACCTTACCCTCCCCCACTATTGAAAAAGAAAGAAAAACAAAATCCTTGTAACAACTATGCAAAGTCAGGCAAAACAGTTTCCCTGCATTGGTCACGTCTAAAAATATGTCTCAGTCTGGAGTCTGTCACCTCTTGGTCCCTAAGTCTGTCACCTCCCTGTCGGGAGCTGGGTACCATGTTTCATCTTGAGTGTTCTAGAACTGTGGTTGGTCATTGAATTGATTGGAGTTCTTAAGTCTTTTTTTTTTTTTGCTAGGCAGTGGGGTTAAGTGACTTGCCTAGGGTCACACAGCTAGCAAATGTTATGTGTCTGAGGTCGGATTTGAACTCAGGTCCTCCTGAATCCAGGGCCGATGCTCTATCCACTGCACCACCTAGCTGCCCCCTTAAGTCTTCCAAAGTTGTAAGAAATACAGATTGAGGATCTACTATGGGATCTGGCCCTTGGAACAGAGACCATCAGACCTGGGAGGTCCAGCCTGTCTGTTTTGTAGATATTCAAGAGTCGAGATTGGTTTGGAGGAGGCGGTGATTGTTTGGGAACAGAGTAATGGAAATAACAACGGGCATTTATATGCCAGTTTAATGTTTGCAAAGCGCTTTACATCTATTATCTCATTTGATACTCATAAGAGTTTTATGTGGTAGGTCCTATCCTCATTTCACAGCTAAGGAAACTGAGGCTTGGGTTAAGTGCCTTGCCCGTGTGTCACATGTGTAGCAAGTGTCAGAGTTGGAATTTGAACTCAAGCCACCTCAATGGTGGAAAGTGAGGCGTGAGTAGACTTCTCAGAGGATGATGGAATCTGAGCTGGCTTTTTTTTTAATGTTTATTTTTTTTTTATTAATTTATTTTGATTTATCAACAATCACTTCCATAAACTTTTGAGTTTTAAATTTTTCTCCCCCTCCCTCCCCAGGACAGTGCGCAATCTGATGTAGGCTATACATTACATGTCTATTAAACGTATTTTCACATTACTGATATTGTAAGGAAGAATTACAACCAATAGGAGGAACCATCAGAAAGAGGAAACAAAACACAACAGAAGGAAAAAAAATATTCTTTTGAATATTTATAGATATGGATCCTTCTAACCTGTCACGGATTTGTCATCCAGGGATTTATTTGTCTAAACTTTATGGAACCTCTTTATAATCGTGGGCTGTGCCCCTCTCAGGTACTTTTAGGAGCTGGGTCAGCCTGGATAGCAGTCATGCATTGTGAAGCTGCTGGCTTCCTGCTCTGCATGCCCATTGGGCTAATTTAGGACTTGGGGATGTGAGAGCCAAGGCTGTGGTGTCTGCCTGTGTTCTCTAGGCCTGGACATGGGCTTCTAGCTTCTGTCTGGAAGTTCTAAAATATTGTTGGCTTTGTAGGGCAGGGATAGGACTCCCAGAGAAGCGCTGGTATTGTGGCATTGTAGAATGAGGCCTTGACTGAAAATGGGAGACCTGGGTTCTAGTTCTTGCTCTCCTACATTCTAGCTGTGTGACCACGGATGAGATATTTTACCCTCTGGGTCTCGGCTTTCTCCTCTGTAAAAATAAGGACTGGGGCTAGATGGTCTTTGTGGTCCCTCCCCACTTTAAGATGCTGTTGTTTTTTGGCCCCAGCTCCAGTGGAGTCAGGGACCATAGATGAGCTGAGTACCCCCACATTCATCTTTCAGGCTCATATCTCCCCCTGCCTTAGTAACCACCTTGCATGGATCGTCAAAGGGCTCTTTGTCCCACCAGCTCAGCACTTCATGCTTCTGACCCCTCTCCTTCCACGGCTGTGAAGCCTTCCTGCCCTGGCTGAGTTTCCATAGCTAATAGACAGGGAGAGGCCCTTGCTCTGGGCTTAGGAGTGTGTGTTTGGGGAGGGAAGGCAGGGAGAAAAGGGAGTGTGCATGAGGAGTTTGACTGGCGGGGTTCAGCCGGAGGGATTTCTCTCTGAGAGGTGAGTGGGAACAGATCTCATGACACAGGGCACACAGATGTTTCAGTACTGCCAGAAATTGGACAGCCAAGCATATACTGAGTGAGTCCTGTCCTTTTCTAAGGTAGTAAGCTGTATGCAATGGAACAACCACAGGGAAAGGAATCTTAATTCGGGGCATTTTTTTGGTTTTTTTTTTTGCTAGGCAATGGGGTTATACGACTTGCCCAGGGTCACACAGATAGTAAGTGTCAAGTGTCTGAGGTCGAATTTGAACTCAGGTCCTCCTGACTCCGGGGCTGGTGCTCTATCCACTGCGCCACCTAGCTGCCCCTTAGGAATCAAGAGATTTGGGTTCTGGCCCCATTTCTGTCACAATCTTAGGTAAATTACCACCCCTCTTTGTTCCTCGGTTTCCTCAAATGTAAACAAAGGGATTGGGACAGTGCTCTCTAAGATTCCTTCCTTCCAGCTCTTCCATTCTGTGTTCTTTGCTCTAAGGATGCTTTTAGCTTTGATATTCTAACGTTCTGTATTCCGAGGTTCTACCAGGTTTAACATTCTATGGTTTACATTCCAAGACTCCTTAGATGGTCTGATGTTCTGGGCTGCCTAGCCTCAGGGGCAAGGCCAGTAGGTTTAAGAGGGTCTGAGTATATCCTCCCCAGGTGTGCGGCCTGTCCTCTGTCCTTATCTCCAGGGAACCAGCTTTGGGAATCTCTGGGCCTGGAGAGACTCTTTCTTTGTCCTAGAGTGACTCCTGCAAAATTCCTTAGGATTTGGCTCCCTCTGGTGGCTCCTAGGGAATATGTAGCTAGGTTGAGGTAGCCCAGGGGCCAGAGGGGAATGGCAGGGCATTTTGCCAGATAAATTAGATGGGAGAGGATAGGTTCCTTTTTCATGTCTCTGCTTTCCTGTCCCGTCCCCATAACCTTCCTCATGTAGGTTGTTGTAAGATGTGGGAAAAAGCTGGTTCTTGCCCTTGGGAATCCATCAGGAGTACCAACTGAAGAATGGAGGGATCTGTTCCTCTGTACACATCATGTTATCATTTCTTCTTGAAAAGCCCTAGTGCCAGGCTTCTGTCTCCATTACCTTTCCCTGTGCCTAGGCCCGCCTGCCGCCTGAGCTGGGACAATGACTGAGGCTCGGAGGGACAGCTCCAGCAGCTTACAGCGAAAGAAACCACCATGGCTCAAACTGGACATCCCGACTTCAACTCCAGCCCCTGCTTCAGCCCCAGCCCTGGCCCCAGCCTCAGCAGCTGAGGAGCCCATCTTTGTGCCGGTAAGAACCCTGTAGGGGCCCTTTGAGGTCTGGGGCAAAGAAGGAGTCTGCTTTTCCCTAACAGGGACCTGGTCACCAGCCAAACCAAGGCCCTCAAAGTCCTAGGCACAAACAGGGGGCCACACAGCCTTGCTGTGGGGATCCCAGGGAGGTGGTTCATCTCATCTCTTCGGCTCCCGTGAGCTTTCCAAGAATTATGGGTAAAAGGAGGCTTAGAAATGGCCTCGGAGCAAGTTGGGTGGTAACCTCCTTCACCCTCCTTACTTCCCCTCCCTCCAATAGCCTCTGAAGCGTCAAGCCTTTCTGCGAAGTATCAGCATGCCAGCTGAGAGTGCCCGAGTGCCATCCCCCCATGAACCAATGCGGCGCCCAGCCTTGCAGAGACAGACGTCCATCACCCAGACCATCCGCAGGTAATGGTCTCTTCTCCCTGGGGCCCCTGAGAACTGCAGCTTGGACTCCTGCACGCAAGGTCGTTCAGCCTTCCTGACTAGAAAGGCTGCATGGTATTTTGGAAAGAACTGAATTTGGAGCCCGAGGACTGGGTTCTAATCCTGGTTCTTCTGCTGAGGCAGAGATCATCTGAGCTGGAAAGGGACCTTGGAGGTCATCTGGTCCCATTCCAGAGAAGGGAGGTTAATTCTCAGGGCTCTTTCAGCTGCTTTTCCAGGAATAGGAAACTTCTAACAACTTCTGATCTCCTTTGAATCCCGGCTGGGACCTGGTCAGGGGCCCTATGAACTACATTTGGATTCAGAAAGCCTGGGTAGGGAGGAGTGAGGATGGGCAGTGCCCAGCAAGTAGAAAAAGAAACAAAGTTCACAGGAGAATTAGGGTAGGGGTGGAGGAAGGGGATGGAGTACCAGGAAGAGGGCATCTACTGGCAGGCATGGAAATCCCATCCCTGGGAGAGACAGGCAGTGGGAGCCCATTGGCCTCCCATGTTGTCCTGGGGGAGGGGGAGAGGGGAATGTGTGCAGAGAGGAATGAGGGGCAGGGGCAGGATCTTTCTATATCTGTGCCTTGGGCAGTGGGAAGGGTTGTCAGGGTATATTAGGCTTCCAGGAGGGTGGGAGCTTGGTGCGTGCTTCCCACAGTGGCCAAGCCTAGAGCAGGGTTCTTAAACTTGAACTTTTATTTGATATTTTGATAACTATTTCAATATAATTGGTTTCCTTTGTAATCCTCTGTGTTTTAATTTTTGCCTTTAAAAACATTATTCAGAACAAACATTATTCTCAGAAGGAGTCTCCCCCAGATTGTCTAAAGGATTATTTGCACACAAGAAGCTGAGAACTCCTGCCCTAGAAGACCCCACTATTCCCACTTGGCAACAATTCCTCGTTTATTGTCTTGTTCTGTTCTCGCATCAGTTTGGATTTTGGGGGTTTTGTAATTTGATAGCCAATCAGCCTTGCAAAGTGTCCTCACTGGCTGCAGCTGCCTCCAGATCTCAGAGACCCAGATTCCCAGGAGGCTGCTCAGGGGTTCTCCTTTACCATAGGCTGCTAAGTAGACATGAGGAGGAGGGACTGGGGGACACAGGGACACTTGATTCTGCCCAGACTTCTCCCCTACTTAGGGACATCACTTGGGCTCTCCATGCCTTATCCTTAGGGCTGTCTGCTCCCCTCTTCCCTCTATGTCTCTAGAATTTTGTCCATTTCTGTTCCCTGCCTTCCTTTCCTTCTCTCCCATTTGCCAGCTCTTTTTGTCTGTGCCATGTGCTGTTCTCTCTCTGTTCCCCTGGTCTGTCCTTTCCCACCCCCTGCTAACAGCTCTCTGGGCCTCTTGTCTCTACCACTATTCTCTGCCCAGCTCTCAGTGTCTCACTTCTTCCCCACCTCTTCCAGCTCTGGGCCTTTTGTTTCTCCTCCAATTCACTCTTCTCTTCTCTTCCTCTCCCTCTCCCTCTCCCTCCCTTCTCTGTTTCTCTTTCACCTGCATGGCGCCCTTCCTCATCTTTCTCCTCCTCCCTCCTTCCCACCCCTCCCAAGCAGCAGCCGACAGGTTCACTTTGAACGAATCCACACCCTGCCTATCCTCGGCCACCAGGCCTCCCGCCGGCCCCTACGAAAGCGCCAGTCGCTCTCTCGCTCCCTGCTCAGGTATCTGGCGGGAGGGCAAGCGGGCGCATGTGTGTGTGTGTGTATGTGTGTATGTGTGTCTCATCTTTGCACTCACTTTGTGCTACTTTGGCCCCTTGCACGTGGGGGTGTGTGTGCGCGTGTGTATGTATGTGTGTGGTGTGTAACCTTTCTGTAGGAGCCAATGTAACCTGCCGGGCATATCCAGGGAGACCGTGGTGACGCTGACCAGGCTTTCCCCTTCTAGCTGGGCTGGGGGAGCCCCGGGATGGCCACTGCTTTGCATGCTGCTTTCATACCATTTGCATAGTGCTTAGTGAATGTCTGAATGCACCAACGCCCCTTGTCCCCTGCCTTGTTCTTTTCTTGCCATCAGTCTTCATTCTAAAGGCTTTGTAAGTATCTTCAGGTCTTTGGCGTTGAGTACGACCACTCTTGCCTGGAGATCTGGCCTATTTGAGGTCTGCCTGGTGCCAGGGCTCCCACCAAATAGGCAGATGTGTAGTAGAAAGTGGCTTCCCTACTCTGAGTGTCAGGGGGCCTGGGTTCTGATCCTGGCTGTTTCTGTAACTCTGTGTGAACCTGGGCAAGCTCTTTAACCTCCCTGAGTTCCCGTTTCCTTTCTGTCGAATGGGTATTGATTATCCTTGACCACCTTACTTCAGTACTGTGGTGAGAAGCAAATGAAATAAAGGACGTAAGGAGAATTTTAAAACTTGCTGTACAACATGAAGGATTAGTATCCTTCTGCCCCGAGTGACGGCTAATCCCAGTGCACTCACTGTGGGGAGGTGGGGGAGAGACACTGGGAATGTCCAAAGGCATGCTCCATGTCAGGGTGCCATGAGGTCTGGCACTAGGTGTCTGCCCACTATTCAGCTTCATTGCACTGTCTTTCCTCTCCTCCTGACCAGGAGTAACTAGAGAGAAAGGTGAAAGACCGCAAAGCTCATGGTTCCTCCCCATGTTCTAGGCAGTGGTGGAAGGGGAATGTTAGGACTGTGTTGGGGAGGGGAGCGGGTTATAAGCCATACTGGCTACACTTTGGACCTCCCCAGGCTGAGCAAAACTGGGAGAAGGAACACCAGATGATTCTTACTTGATATAGAGAAAGCTGAAATCAAGAAAATAGGAAGAATGAGGGCAAGGGTTGAGGTTGGGATGGGAAACCAGAGGGAAACACTTTGGAGCTGTAGGAGGGAGGGAGGCGTGAAATGTGGGCTCTGTATGGGGGAGATACCAGAGCAGCAAGAGAGGGGAGGTGTGTGGGACACATATGGTTTAAAACCAGGGGGCTGGGGGAGGAGAGGAGGGAAGAGTGGACCAGGTACAAGGGGAACCCCCATGCATTGGGATGTGACAGTAGAGTTTAGAGCCCCTCTTCCCTTTGACAGCCCCTTTCTCCCGCTCTTCCCATCTAAGGCTTGCTTTCCCTCTCGCCCATCTTCCAGGGGCACAGCTGACTGGTTTGGGGTGAGCAAGGACAGTGACACCAACCAGAAATGGCAACGTAAGAGCATCCGTCATTGCAGCCAGCGATACGGGAAGTTGAAACCCCAAGTGATCCGGGAGATGGATCTCCCGAGCCAGGACAACATCTCTCTCACCAGCACCGAAACTCCTCCCCCGCTCTACGTAGGGCCCTGCCAGCTGGGCATGCAGAAGGTGAGAGCCCGGGGGGCAGGGGCAGGAAGGATGTCTTAGAAATCATGCAGTCCGCTGGGATGCTGAGGGTGCATTGGACTAGGAGTCAGAGGGCCTGACTTTGGGTCCTGGCTCTGAGGCTGCCCAGCTGGGTGACCTGAAACAGGTCACCCACCCTTGTCTGAAGGCCTGTCTGAGCCTGAGCTTCCTCATCTGCAGCATGGAAATAGTAAGACTTTGGGGTGCAGTGGAGAGTATTTGATCTGGGGTCGTTCACGTCCTGATTTAGTGTTGGCTGTTTCTTACTTCGGGGATATTAATGAAGATAAAAATTGGGTAATATACTTAAAGCATTTTGTAATCAGAAAAATGCTATATAAATAAGAAATACCATAACCTTTCACCCAGTGGGGGAATTTCCCCTACACCAGTGTGTCCCAACTGGCTTTGATCCATGGCAAATTTTTAATAGTTTACAAAGCCTTTTGCTATCACAGGAAAGGATATAAGCATTTATTTAGTGCATACTATGTGCCAGGCACTGCGCTAAGCACTTTATAAATGTTATCTCTTTTGATCCTCATAACAACTCTGGGAGTTTTATTTGTACAAATGAGGAAATTGAGGCAGAGAGGTTTAAGTGACTTGTCCAGAGTGTCACAGCCAGTAAGTATCTGGGGGTCAGATTTAAACTCAGGTTTTCCTGACTCCAGGCCTGGTGCTCTATCTTCTGGCTGCCTCCAAGTCAGGATTATATGGTAGAAAGCAAGTTTATTGACTTTGGAATTGGCAAGGCTTGGGTTCAAATCCTAGCTCTGTTTTGTTGTTGTTCAGTTGTGTCCCACTCTTTATGGCCCCCCAGCTCTGTTAACCTCTGTGACATTTGACAAGTTGCATAACCTCTCTGAGATTTGGTTTCTGCTTCTGTAAAATAAAGAGGATTCAGTTCAGTTCAATTCAGTGTGCTCTCATTAAGTCCTGCTACATGCTAGGCTTTGTGCTAAGTGCGGAGGCTACAAAGACCAAAGGGAATCTCCTTTCCCTCAGGCAGCTTCCCTTCTACTTAGACCAGCATATGCTATCTATGGGATCCTCATGGCTTAAGTCTCCTGCTTTTCTGAAGAGTTCTTACTTCTTGGAACTTGCGCATTTTAAAAGCCAGCTTCTCTTTCTGTCTTGCCCTTACCGAGTCCTGCCTCCTGAGCCTCAAGGAAGAGGCTGAGAAAGTGAGGAAATCCGAGGTGGAGAATTTAGAATTTTATCTGTCTGAAAAGTAGCTTAGGTTATGAAACACTTTTGTTCTACAGCACCCCAACAGGCAATGGGCCAAGATGGTGATGGTGGCGATGCTGGTGGTCATTGTCATGAGTAATGGCAATCCCTTATGTTTTCACGCATATGCACGTATTATATATGTAAGTGTCCATATAAGCACCTATAGGTAGGCACACATGCAAACACACTTGTGTATGTACATGTATAAAATACTCATGTATTATATACATGTATATGTATGGTGTGTTTCATATATACACACACATGCGTAAATACACACATACATATATGCATGGATGCGCGCGCGCACACACACACACACACACACACACACACACACACACACACACACACCCCTCTAACAGGAGCAAAGGACTGGTGTCCCATTGAACTCCATTCATGAATCCCAGAATGAGTCTTGACTGGAGCTGGAATCTGGCCCAACTGTTGTGCCCTGAGACGGGTCTGTCAGTCCCCACAATGGCAAGAGAGAATGAGAGAATTCCCTGTGTGGACAGAGCCTGACCGTGGGCATGGGGAGTGGGTGAGAGGAGGGGGAGAGAGAGAGGAGATGGGAGGAGTAATTGCTCCCCAGTCAGAACTCACTGTGGTGGGTGAAGTTGGACATCCATAGGTAAAACTAGAGACCGTACATATAGAACAGAATGCCAACAAACACGTGTTTAACCTAAGAATTACTATGGTAATAGTCTGATGGAGGTGCTCTAAAGTGGAACAAGGGTGCCTCAGTTAGGTAGGGAGCTCGTCATCATTGGGGGTGCCCAGTAAGAGGCTAGTCAGCCAATGGTAGAATTTGAAGGATGAGGGAGATTTTGGCTCAGTATAACAAAACAACTTCCTAACGGTAGTTATCTCAAAGTAGAATGTTTTTGGAGGCCGTGTGTCCTTTTGTTACAGGTCTTTTAGCAGAGTTTGGAAGGTGACTTGTTTTTGGGCAGGAGGCTGGACAAAATGACTTTTGAGGTCCTCTCCAGCTTCCCCTGCGGGCCATAGTCTCACCCCATCCCTCATAACCACCTACCCTATAGGGGAACTCGAAGGTCCCTGTCCTCTAACAAGGCCTTGGAGGCAACGTGAAGACATTGAGTTAACTTCTTCTGTGTCCCCAGGGACTGAGACAGAAGAGTATGTATGTGTGGCCCTCGCAACGCGGGATAGTTCCCCACACCTTCCTCCCCGGCCCCTTCCCCCATCCCAACTAGGCCCTGTCTCCCGTTGCAGATCATCGACCCGCTGGCCCGAGGCCGGGCATTCCGCGTGGCAGACGACATGGATGGCTACAGCATCCCTCACACACCTATCACACCTGGGGCCACCTCCCTCTGCTCCTTCACTAGCTCCCGCTCCGGCTTCAATCGCCTGCCAAGGAGGCGCAAGAGGGAATCTGTCGCCAAGATGAGCTTCCGGGCAGCAGCCGCTCTCGTGAAGGTGAGCAGGGCTCGGACCCCGCTGGGGAGCTGACAGGTGTGTCAGTCCTTGGGGGAGGTCGTGTGTGTGTGTGTGTGTGTACATGCCTCAGAAGTCTTACGCTTGTGCATGCATACATATGTAGGGAGATGCATGAATGCCTGTGTAACAAGAGGTGCGTGTATGTATGTAGGCATGTGCTGATATCTGTGTGTGTGTACGTGGGTGTCATGTGTGAAATCTCTTAAAAAGACACGAGGGGTCCCTTTGGGGCTGTTGTCCGGGTCTGCAGAACTTCACCTCCTTCCCTCCCCTCCTTGCAGGGCCGATCTGTGAGGGAAAGCACCTTGCGCAGGGCCCAGAGACGAAGCTTCACACCTGCCAGTTTCCTAGAGGAAGATACCGTGGACTTCCCTGATGAACTGGACACGTCCTTCTTTGCTCGGGTAAATGAAAAGCCACCTTTGCCCCTAGAGGCGGGGGCCCTGAGCATGGTTTCTCTCTGCCTATCCTGCCCCATCTTTCCAGGCATCGATCTTTCCTTCTCCTGGCCTCTGTGGTTTGTCTCTCCTACTTCATCTCCACTTCACCCAGAGGGTCCCTTCTCCTGTCCCCTGCCATCCTCTCTGTCTCAGTCCACCACTGAGTGTTCTGCCCCACGAGAGGCCTGTTCCCCTGCAGCCCCTCCCTCGCCGCTCCTGTGATGAGCGTCCTCCCCATTTGCTCAGGAAGGAGTCCTCCACGAGGAGCTGTCCACCTACCCGGATGAGGTGTTTGAATCGCCTTCAGAAGCCGCGCTCAAAGAGTGGGAAGAGAAGCCGCCGGAGCAGGCAGACCTCACCGGAGGCGCCCTGGACAAGAGCGAGCTGGAAAGAAGCCATCTGATGCTGTGAGCTGCTCCCCCGCTGGGGTGGACAGGTCTCTTGGGGGCAGGTGTCCCTGAGCTTGGGGTGAGGAGGAATCTTGGTAGGACTCACCCCCCGGATCTCTGAAGACCTGGAGCCACTTAGCTTCTGATACAGAGCCCAGCAGGGGATAGTAAAAAGAATCCTGGATTGGGAGTCAGGAGCGCTGGGTCCAAGCCCTCACCTCTCTCTTAACTCTGTGGCCTTGAGCAAATCACTTCCCGTCTCTCAACCTCATTGTCCTCATCCTCTTATTAAACAGATGAAGAAGGTGTTTCTGGGGCATGTTTTTGCTTGGTTAAAGAAAGGAGAAGAGTTATCCAAAAATGAAATGGATTTTCAAGAGAGAAGAGATAGTGGTAGTGAATTTCCTAGCATTGGAAGTGTTCCAGTGGAGGCAGAATAACTACCTTAGAAGGGATCAGAGGGCAGAGAAGAGATTTCTTTTTGGACCAGATGACCTCTGAGGGCCTTTTAGCTTTGAGATGGTATGGGAGTCACCTGTGTGCTCTCCCCTCACAGTGCCTGGCACATAGTAGGTGCTTTTGTTGTTTAGTTGTTTCAATCTCTTCGTGACCCCATTGAGGGTTTTCTTGATAGAGATACTAGAGTAGTTTGCCATTTCCTTCTTCAGCTCATTTTACTGATGAGGAACTGAGGTAAATCGGGGTAAGTGACTTGCCCAGGGTCACATAGCTCGTAAGTGTCTGAGGCTGGATTTTTAAACTCAGGAAGATGAGTCTTCCTGGATCCAGCCCTGGCCCTCTGTCCACTATGCCATCCAGCTGTCCAATAGGTGTTTAATAAAAGTTTATTGATTGATTAAGATTTCCCCCCTGAATCAGTCATATTCCTGGATAAGCTTCCCAGGGAACTTAATTTAACAATTTTTATTTATACATACACACGTTATTTAACAAAAACAATGAACAATTACATATAACAGTTGTAGCATTTGTATGTGCTAGTCTACATCTGCTGTTGGAGGTGAGGCAGTAGAAGGTGCCCGGCCTCTGGGTGTCAGGGGATGGGCCTGGCCAGCTGACTCCCCACACCTGAGCCTGGTTATTGTCTATGTTTCAGACCTCTGGAGCGGGGGTGGCGGAAGCAGAAGGAGGGGGCTGCCGTAGCTCCCCAGCCCAAGGTGCGGCTGCGGCAGGAGGTGGTGAGCGTGGCAGGGCCACGGCGGGGTCAACGCATTGCCGTGCCGGTCAGGAAGCTGTTTGCCAAAGAGAAGAGGCCCTACGGACTGGGCATGGTGGGCCGGCTCACCAATCGCACCTATCGGAAGCGCATAGACAGCTACGTTAAGCGACAGATTGAGGACATGGATGACCACAGGTGGGGAGTGGCCAAAGGGCAGGGGGGCACAGATGCTAGGGGTCGGAGTGACCAGGAAAGTAGTGGACACTGAGGGGTGGAAGGAACAGGGTGATTGGGAGGCTAAGTCCTCCAAACACATCCATGGTATGAAAATCTGGATTTACGTGAAAGATCAATTTGGTACTGAGGCTCCCATTAATAATAATAATTGATCTTTATATAGTGCCGTGAGATTTGAAAAATGCTTTATATCCAGTATCTTACTTCAACCTCATACTAACCTATTGAGGTGGGTACTATCTGGTATTATTTATCCCCATTTTACTGATGAGGAAACTGAGACCTAGAGAGGGAAAGTGACTTGCTCATGATCACACAGCTAGTGACAGAGACAGAATTTGAACCCCACTCTCCCTGATGCCAGCTTCATCACGCTATCAGTTATACCTTATTTCAGGAAGTTTCCCTGCAGAGTTCAATCGCAGGCTCCTAAACTTGAGAGCTGGAAGGGACTTTGAGATCAGTGAGTAGGCATGCTGATTTCACAAAGCTTTGGGTTTGGACCTGGTTCGAATCCTGACTCTGCTGCCTGCAGGATCTTGGGTAAAGCACTCTTCCTGCTCTGAGATTCACTTTCCATACCTGTAAAATAAAGTTGAAGTCCTTTCCAGCTCTAAATGCTAGGACACCCTTCATTTTGCAGTTGAGGAAACTGAGGACCCAGAGAGGGAAAGAGGGAAGTTGGTAACATGAGAGTTGAGACTTGAATTTTCTCCTCCGCCCTGTGTTCCCATTATTATTATTATTATTATTATTTTTTTTTAAGGCAATTGGGGTTAAGTGACTTGCCCAGGGTCACACAGCTAGTAAATGTCAAGTGTTTAGTCTGAGACCGGATTTGAACTCAGGTCCTCCTGACTTCAGGGCAGGCGCTCTATCTACTGCGCCACCTAGCTGCCCCCATTTTTATTATTATTCATAATAAGATTGGATCTCCCTAGGTTTTTTTGGTGGGGTGTGGGAGAGAGGTCTGTTTTAGAAAGTGAAGCCCCTCTCTCTGTGTATTGTAGCCTGGCCACTATCTCTTGGGGGCTCTGAGACAGGTGCTGGCCTGGCCCGGTGCTGGCCCGGCCCAGTGCTGAACCCCTACGTTCCTTCTCCAGGCCCTTCTTTACCTACTGGCTGACGTTTGTGCACTCCCTCATCACCATCCTGGCTGTGTGTATCTATGGCATTGCTCCTGTTGGCTTCTCTCAGCATGAGACAGTAGACTCGGTGAGGACCCCAGGGAGCTGGGGCACAGCTTTAGATGAGATTCTGCTCATTCCCTTAGCCCTCCTCTCCTCGCTCCCCTGGCTTCCACCTTGGGTCGCTTGTGCCATCCCAGGACAAGGCGGGAGTTGGGATAATATTGCTTGTTTCTGTTCGGTGCCATGTCTGGTCTTTAGATCCCACCTGGGACCAGCCCCTTCTCTCCTGGGGCCTCAGTTTCTCTAACAGAGCATTTGACCATTGTTGGCAAAAGCCTGTGGCTCTGCTGGGTCAGGCCAGGAATGGAGAACGTCCTGGAGAGTGAAGATTAGATAACCCTGAAATCTTCTCCCCCTGCTGGCCAAGGCAAAGCCACTGGATTTAGGAACAGAAGACCCAGGTTCAAATCTCCTGTTCTCTGCCCTCCATGACCTTGGCATTTATCTCCCTGGCTCTTGGTTCTTTTATCTGTAAAATGATGGGGGCTAAGGCCAGATGATCTCTGAAGTCCCTCTTGTTGTTCAGTCATGTCCAACTTTTCATATGGGGTTTTCTTGGCAAAGATACTGGAGTGGTGTTCTATTTCCTTCTCCAGTGGATTAAGGCAAACAGAGGTTAAGTAACTTGCCCAGGATCATACAGCTAGTGAGTCTGAGGCTGGATTTGAACCTGGGTCTTCCTGACTCCCTGCCCAGTGCTCTATCCACTGAGCCATCGAACTGCTCTAAGGTCCCTCCAATTCTAGATTATGGTTCTATAAATGATTTCATGGCCCCTTGTTCTGCCTCCCTGATTGGTTTCTCTGGGATCCTTTCCTTCCAAGCCTCTGCTGTACTCCCTGCTCCATTTTCCTGCTGGCCATTTCCTGGGGTTTTCCACCCAGTCTCAGTTCAGTCCCACTTCCTACAGCCTCCCTACTTTCCCAACAGGTCCTGAGGAACAGAGGGGTTTATGAGAATGTTAAGTATGTGCAACAGGAGAACTTCTGGATCGGGCCAAGTTCAGTAAGTTTTTTGTGGCATAATGTGGAATGGGAACTTGATTGGGAGTGAGACAAGGGTTGGAGACCCTGCTTCTGCTGCTTCTGCCCCCTAGGTGACCTCAATAAGCCCTTCACTAGGCCTCAGTTTCCTTTGATGTGACATGAGGGATCTCTAAGTTCCCTTCTGCCTAGAAATTCTGTGATTCAGGGAGGGCTCAGGGGGACAGGCAGGGGGTGTCTTCTATACCTGTCTATGATTCTCCCCACCTTACCTCTGACTCTTCCTCCCCAGGAGGCACTCATCCACCTCGGGGCCAAGTTTTCCCCATGCATGCGGCAGGACCAGCAGGTGCACAACTTCATCCAGGCCACCCGGGAGCGAGAGAAGCACTCGGCCTGCTGTGTGCGCAATGACCGATCGGGCTGTGTACAGACTTCCGAGGAGGAGTGCTCTGTGAGTCCCTGCCTCCTGCCCCGATCGCCCCCACGCCTCCCCGATCCTAGTGACCCTGGGAGCCAGGGCACGTTGGAGATCATTTCATCCAACCCCCTGTCATCGTACAGAGGATGGGACAGGAAGGGAAGGGTCTTGGGAAGGCCCTGCTCTACTCGACCCACGTCTCTTGCTTCCTTCCATGGGGGTACAGTTGTGGAGACTGGTTTGGGATTTGCATATCATTGACATGGCCTCAGCCTGCTGTGGTCTTATGGCCGTGGATAACCTGAGCTCTAGGGCCCTGGCCTCACCACAAATTCCTTGGGGGACTTTGGGAAAGTCCCCTTGTCCTTGTGGGTCTCCACTGTTCAGTGGATGCTCTCTAAGGGCCCTTCTGGCTGGGATGATGCTCCATGAGAAGCGCCATGTTAGAGTAGAAAGAACGTTGGATCTGGACTCCAAAAACCTAGGCTCAAGTCTTGGCTGATCAGTGTGGGCAAGTCACTTGTTTCCTGAGCCCCATTTCCTCCCTTGTCTTGTGCTACGATGAGGCAAGCCCTGTAAACCTCAGCATGCTGTTTACCCCCTTCTTGAGTTTTTGAGTTAACATTTGACTTGTCACCCTGAAGATCGTGACCTTTTAATCTGTTTCTGCCCCCCACCTGCTGTGCCGCAGCATGGTCCCTGGCCCTGACAGTAGGAAGGAGGGAGGCAGAAGGATGAAGGCAGGTAGATGACCAGGCCCCAGAAACTTCCCACCACACTTGCGCTACAGCTCGGGTTATCTGTCTGTCTGTCTGTTGGTCGGCCTGTCGGCTTCCGTTATTTACTGAATGTTAACCCCAGCCCCCAAAGTGTGTGATGATAATAACCTGCGTTTCTGTAGAACTTGAAAGTTTGCTAGGCGCTCTCTTCACCACAGCCCTGTGGGGTAGGTAGTGCAAGTATTATTATCCCCACTTTCCAGATGAGGAAACTGAGGCTCTGAGAGGTTGTGACTTGCCCATGATCACACGGCTAGTAAGTGTCTGAGATGGTGTTGGAACCCAGGTCTCTTGACTCCTTTTCACTAGAACTTGCTGCCTTAGTAGCATCCACATCATTATGATCCTTTTTTTTTTAACCTTTCCTGTGTATTTCACATGGACTTGGTGCTGCTGTTGTCCTTATCTGTGTAGTGGCCCGCGTGTCAGATTAGCTGTCTTTACTGTGCATCATTTCTTACATTGTCTCGTATTTTTTTGGATTCTTTGTAATTGTTGTTTCTTATGAATGTCCTACTTTAGAAAACACATTCCCCCAAGGACTGCGTCAGCCCTTCTCTCTTCCTCCAAACCCTGTTCCCTGGCCTCCCCTAGAATCGGAGGCTGAGGCTGCCCCTGATCCCTCTTTCCCTCTCCAGTCCACACTGGCTGTATGGGTGAAGTGGCCTGTTCACCCCAGCACTCCCTATCTGGCTGGAAACAAGAGGCAGTTCGGCTCTGTCTGCCACCAGGACCCCAGGTAGGTCACCGTTCTGGGCTCCTGGAGGGGCCTGCCCAGATGGCCCTACCATTACCAGTCCTTGGCCCTAGGGATCACAGCACGCTCGATTTGGGCTCTTTGATGCCAATGGCCTAATCCTGTTGAAGGGTGGAGGGGTGGAAGGGGATGAGTCTGTAGGATCAGAGATGCTCAGATGCGTGGGGCTGCAAATATTTGGGCTTGGTGTGGGGAGGTCACCACAAATGGGTCCTGGGAAGATGAGGGACCAGAGGGCAAGGGGGTCTGACTAGTTATGGCACTGTAGGGTATGTGACGAGCCATCATCCGAGGACCCACACGAATGGCCGGATGACATCACTAAATGGCCGGTAAGCAATATACCTGCATCTGTGTGAGGGATGTCATAGGCACCTTCAACTCTGGAGACCCATCTGTCTCCTTAATCCTGTGATCCTTTGATATTGGAGAGTATGAGGAACAACCAGACCTGGGCCAAAAGTTATTCTTGCTGACTTGGTAGATGGTGGGGCTAAGTTGTTGAAGAAGCCAGGCAGGTGCCTAGGGCTCTCCATCCCCAAACAGACTGTTGCAGTGGCTCAAACTATTTTACACAGGCATCACATAGGAGCACATCAATCCCTAGAATTTATACATTCCTGTCCTTCTCAGGCCCTTTCCCAGCCCAGTTTCACTGTCTATGCTTGGCAGAAACTGGGACAGAGAGCTCATCTTGGGAACACCGGAGTTCGGAAAAAACATCATAAGATCATAAGGAGAGAATCTTGGACATCCTGTCATCCCACCTTCTCAGTTTACATAAAGAGAAACCAGTCCAGAGTGATGCCTGAGATCACAGGCAGTAAATAGCAGGGCTGGGATTCAAACCCAAGTTTTCTGACTTCAGATCCATTTTCTCCATTACACCAGCTCCCAACCCTTAACATGAGTCCTTGCAGTCACATAACAAGCTCTTGTAAAGCCATGATCTCATCAAAGCCTATTTTACTGAGGACATAGAGACTCAGAGAAGGAAAGAGATGGGCGTAAGGGCCAGCAAGTAAATTCTGGAAATAGAACGAGAACCTTGGCCTCCAGCCTAGTGCCTAGGGTTCTTTTGGTGACATTCAGTGACCCTTTCCCTATCCCCCAGCTCTGGCCAGCTGGGCACTACTGGGGGGGGGCACCTTACTGGACTAATCCTGTCCCTCCTCACCCTTATGGGGAGGGAATGACCTGCTCTCTCTCCTCTAACCCATCTGTAACCCAGATCTGCACCAAAAACAGCGCTGGGAACCACACCAACCACCTCCATATGGACTGTGCCATCACCGGGAGGCCTTGCTGCATCGGTACCAAAGGAAGGTGAGAGAGGACTAGCGCCTGCCTCCCCGACCTGGCTTCTCAGGGACTGGCACTGAAGGTGCTAGTGACAAATAGGACAGGCTGGTTCATGGAGATGTAATTTATTAGACTGTCCTAGGGAGGTTTACAGGTATGGGGCTGGGAAGGACCAGACCGGACTCCAGGGGATCCCTGTGGTGACCCAAAGCCAGTTAATGCCCGCTGTCTGAATTTTCCTCCCTCTAAGGTGTGAAATCACCTCTCGGGAATACTGTGACTTCATGAGGGGCTATTTCCATGAGGAGGCCACACTGTGTTCCCAGGTATGGGGATGGGGGGGAGCTTTTTTCATGCAGTGTGGAATAGCGTGGGAATGGGGGGTTGATGAAAGGATTCCAGGTCTTTGAGGACCTGTGGATACCTTCCCAACCTTTCTCTGCCCCTTCTATCCCTTCTATCCCCAATAACTTGTTTTACTTCCTGGGATGCTGATCAGCCACTCTGTCCCCACAGGTGCACTGCATGGATGACGTCTGTGGCCTTCTGCCCTTTCTTAACCCCGAGGTTCCTGACCAGTTCTATCGTCTCTGGCTCTCCCTTTTCCTACATGCTGGGTAAGTCAATGCCCTCCTGGGCTAGGGCCTAAGGGCTTTTTTAGCCTCCAAGCGATGCGAGGTTGAATGTGCTGACCAGGCTGCAAGGCCTACTGCCCTTCTAGGTTTCACCATCCTCACTGTCCAGTTTTGGCAGGAACCAGGGTTAGGCATGGAGGGTCGGAAAGTAGATACTAACTTTTTTCCTCAAAGTCTGCATCTTATACAATAACCTAATCACACATACACATTTCTTTGGAGATCCTCAAAAAGTATACCTGAGGCTGATGAGTTAAAAAGCATTTATTAAACCATTACTGTGTGTTAAGTGCCACGTTTATCTCTGGGGATACAAACAGAAAAACACCTTCTAATGAGAGGGACAACATATGGACCTTAGTTCACCCTAGGTGGGGTGAACCTTAGGGTGTATGAGGGGAGGTGGGTGTCTATGTGGTTCTAAGTGTTCTGCTTGCCTTTCCTTAACAGGATCTTGCACTGCCTGGTATCTGTCTGCTTCCAGATGACGATCCTTAGGGATCTGGAGAAGCTAGCCGGGTGGCACCGCATATCCATCATCTACCTTCTGAGTGGTATCACAGGCAACCTGGCCAGTGCCATTTTTCTGCCCTACCGGGCTGAGGTAAGACTCCGAGGTGTTCCATGGGGCACAAACATCGTGGTGAGTCTGGATGCTGTTAGAATCTATCTGATCTCTCTGGCTCCCTTCACCTTGGCTTTACCACTGGCTCACTGGGTTACCCTTTGCCTTTCTGGGTTTCATTTTCTTTTTAAAGTGAGGGAGTTTTACTTGATCAGTAAGGATTCTTTGAGCTCTGACAGTCTATGTGCTACGTTCTAAGCATCCTTCTGTGACCCTGTGTCCTTGAATCCAGCTTTGTTTCCTATTTTTCTTGAATCTTATTTCCCTAACCAGACTGTAAGCTAGTCAAGTACAGGGCCTGTATCTTTTTCTTCATATCCCTCAAAGCTTAACTGAGCATATACTAGGTACTTGATAAAGACACCTTTGAAGCTTAGAGGCAGCATTATATAGGTGGCCCTCATTTCCTTTGGCAGACATAATTCTGAAAATGTACCTAAACAGAATTTTTTAAGTCAGAAACATTGAACCACTTTGTCCTTAGTACGCAATTGGACACTATAGGGGAGAATTTTAAAAAATTACCTTACAAAATCACTGCCCTCATGGACCTTGTAAACTCTTTTAAATGTATGGAGGAAATCTTGGCCCCAGGAAAGAAATTTTTACAAAATTCTTGCTTTTGGCTAGTTAGGGACTATAGGAATGAAATGGTGCATGTTATCAGATGGGAACGCTTTTTCATTTCCTTAACCGTTTTTCTTGGTTACAAAAGGAATAAGTGATATGTGGATGAGAGAGGGGGTAGGTGGCAGTATTATCCAGAAATGACTGGGATATTAAAAAAAAATTTTTAGTAAAACTTACTTACAAAATTTAAAAAAAGTAATGTAGGAGGGGGAATTAAGGAGTTCCAATCTTGATTCATTGTGACCTTACTCTCTTTTGGTTCTGTTTCCTGTTTTGTAAGATTGGACTTACAACCTCACATAAATTGTAAGAGATGTAAAAGGTTGACTAGAAAAGGTCTGTTCTTATTAAAAAGATTCTACAAATTGCATTACAAATCTTTTAAAGTGAAGAATTTCAGGTTTATTCATGAGAATTTAGAACCTTCCAATCAGGCAACTTTGAACCATGTCAAATCCTTGGTTCCTTTGAAAATTGTGATGAGGGTCAGTCAGTAAATTAAATTAAGGTTTTACCATGTTCCAATTAGGCAAAAAAAAAAAAAAAAAGCCAAACCCAAAAACTCCCCCTGCCCTGGAGGAACTCACAATCTAAAGGGGGATACAACACGCAAACTACTATGTACAAACAATCTATATATAGGATAGAGGGAAGGCTTCCTGGAAGAGGTGGTGGGATGGTGGCAGATGAGAGGTGCCCTAGGTACAGGTGCGCCTTCAGCAAAGCTGTCTGCCAGGGCACATCTAATCCCAACCTGTCCCGATCTACTCTCCCTCCTCCCTAATTTTTCATGTTCACTCCTAGGAGTCTTTGCTGACTCTGTCCCTCCCCCACGGGCCACCCCACAGCTCCCCTACCTCCTCTCCATCTCTCCCTGCAGGTTGGCCCCGCAGGCTCCCAGTTCGGCATTCTGGCATGCCTCTTTGTGGAGCTGTTCCAGAGCTGGCAGATCCTGGCCCGGCCTTGGCGAGCCTTCTTCAAGCTTCTGGCTGTGGTGCTGTTCCTCTTCACCTTTGGTCTCCTGCCCTGGATCGACAATTTTGCTCACATCTCTGGCTTCGTCAGTGGCTTCTTCCTTTCCTTTGCCTTCCTGCCCTACATCAGCTTTGGCAAGTTTGACCTGTACCGCAAGCGGTGCCAGATCATCGTCTTCCAGATCGTCTTCCTGGGGCTCCTCTCTGGCCTGGTGATCCTCTTCTACTTCTACCCAATCCGGTGTGAGTGGTGTGAGCTCCTCACATGCATCCCCTTCACAGACAAGTTTTGTGAGAAATATGAATTGGATGCTCAGCTCCACTGATCCAGGGCCGTGGGAGGTGGAACTTGGAAGGGGGGACAGTGGTACCGGAGCTGGGAGCTGTGTCTCCCTCTCCCCCAGGTGGGGACAGACCCGGATCCCATCCCACTGGCCAATCTTGCCCACCTCCCACCCGGGCTTCCACACTCGGCAGTGCAGCCTGGCCCTGCCTCATCTCACCATGACTCACATGTTTCCTGAAAACAGAATGATTGTGCCTTGTTCAGTTTTGTTGAACCCCTTTTATGCCTCCAGGTTTTTATTATACTAGTGTCCATAACTACCTTTTTAACTAGCCCAGCTGACGACCACCACGTGTGGCCAATAAATGAAACGGGAGCGTTTTAGCTGCCATTAACTCAGATGATATCTGTGTCTTTCTCCTTCCTAGGCTGCCAACCTCGATGGGGTAGTGGTGGGAAAGCTTCAAGAGCAACCAGAGAATAGTAACCATGGGTATTGGGGGCATTGGGATAGTACAGAGCCACAAAGTTGTGGAAGGCTCAGACTAGCTTTTCAAGAGGTCATTCAGACTAGGGTTGAAGAAAGGGCAAAATGATTACTTTTTACAACTGAAGGAAGGTAGGAACATGGTGGGAAATGGGCAAGGGGAAGCTGAGTCATGTCAGGAAAAAAGTGGCCCAAGCTCGCCAGCATGAGAAGAGATGCTTCTGGACGCTAGAGAGCAAAAGGATGCAGTGCCTCTCATCAATAGAAACAGGGTGTATAGAAATCGTAGCCCATTTCCTTTGTTTTACACAAAACAGAGGTCCACAGGGTTCAAATGCATCATCAAGTGCAGAGGAGGGACAGGTGGCAAACACAGCGAGAACATCAGAGGATGCTGGGCCCAGCAGGCAGGTCACCCCCAAGGCACCACGGTCCAAGTCTTCTTGCTCCTTGGGAGCTAACTCCCTCTTGACATCCCATTTCTCTCCAGTCATGCTCGGGGCTGGATGAAAATATCTCAGCAGGGTAGCAAAACTCCTGGGCTTGGAATGGTTGATAGCTGTAAAACAAGGAATATTCCAATAAGGCAACTCTGAATAGGTAAAATCTTTGGTTACGTTGCCACAAAGTAGGACCCATGATCTCCAGAGGAATGGGATGGATAATGTGTGACCTGAGGGCTCCCTATCTTTAATGGAACACTGGGACCAGGCAGACTGGAGGGAAATCACAGGGCATTTTGGTCAGGGTGGAGAGGGTGGTGGTGCTTTAGAGATATAGTGGACTAGATTAGGAAGAGGATGGACATAGGCCTTAACAGGTATACTGTTTAAAAAGAGGCACCTTTTAAAAGTCTGAAAGCAGTGGTCATGACTGGGGGGAGGGGGCAGCTGAAGAAGAGTCATTTGAGAAATAGCAGTCACTGGTCCCTGCCCTCAGAGACCCAAACTGACTTGTGTGGGAAGCAAAAGTGTGAGAGCGTGTTAAATGTTACGTTCAGTCAGAGTGGGTTTTACTTGGAGATTTTTAGGCCTTCGGAAGAGAAGCTCTGTAGGGAGTTTATGAACTCCCTCAGTGTTAACGCTATCACCTACATCTGGGGTGTCTAACTGTGATGTCACTGACCACCTGCCATCTCCAGCAGTGGGGACAACATGCCGCCTCCTTTCCTCCCCTTTGTAACAAGCCACGGGCATGTAGATATTGGTTAGCCAAGGTCAGAAGCAGACTCTGGGGCTGGGGGAACAAAGTGATGCTAAACATCTTATGAATAGCAATCGATGACCTCATGATTATACCTATTTCTATCATGTTTTAAGATTTACAGAGCACTTTTCCTCACAATAACTCTGGGTTGTCATGCAAAGATTATTAACTCAATCTGACAGATGAAGAATCTAGATATTTAGAGAGCCTTCAGCTGTCTATATGTGGAAAATAAAAATGTGACATCCAGCGTTAGCATTTAACATATGTGTGGGTGATAAGTGCTAAGCCAACACTTGAACCCCCAGGTCTTATGCTGTGGTAGAAAGAGCAAATGACTACAGAGGTGTGGGCTCAAACCCCAGCTCTTTCATTTAATAGCTGCCTCACCCTAGGCCAAGTATGTTAACCTTTCTTTTGCCTGGTTTCCTCATCTGTCAATGAAGCAGTTGGACCTAATGATCCCTAAGTTCCCATCTAGCTAAAAGGGAAAAAAAAAAAGGTCTATGAATCTCTGATTTTAAGTTGAATACTTTTCACCACCCTCTACCCATGTCACAAATCACCTGAATGAGAAGATGATTTATCCTGGCAGCCTCCTGCATCCTCCTTTCATCAAAAGGCTGGAAATAGCACAAAAATGATGACTATCACACAGACCAAGCCCACTGCCCAGTCCTAATTCCCTGGCCTAATCAGCTATGGGAATTATTACAAACTCAGAGGGCCCAAACTAGGGGACATTAGCCTAAGAAGGGAACAGAGCCCAGAGAGGCAGAGCACTGTGGCAGGGCTAGGGAAAGAAAGTATAACACTGGCATGAGCCTAAAGGGACTGAAGTAAATGTTGCAAAGGTCAACCCTATCCAGATCTTTGGAATAAGAAGGCTCTCCTGGTCCTTTTTACAAGTTCTTCTTAAGCATTACCTCATTTGTTCCTCAGTTTTTTGATAAAGGAGACCTCATCTCGGTTTCGGATGCCATACCTGAAAAAAGAACACTGGTTACTGGTCTGGGATCAGACACCACAGTGATTCCTTCACTGTCTAAGGCTCTGTCACAAAGGGCAAAGGAGGATTGTGGCTGGGGCCTGAAGCCCAGAGGAGCAGTAAAAACTCCTGCCCTAGTGCTAAGAGGATTAGAAAACTTAGTCCTTCTCTTCTCAACACTTCTGAGCCCTTTCTACATTTAACTCACTAACGTGAGGGAGTCACATGAGGGAAAAAGGTGATACGAAGTATCAAAGTCCATCTTTTTATCCTCAGATAATGTTATTACCTTCCTTCAGCTTGGTCCCTTTTGGTTCAGAGCTATTTCCATGGCTAACGGCCAACTCTGGACTAACAAGGATCACATTTCTAATGTGTGTTTTCCTTCTAATTTTCAACCACTAAGGCCTTTCAACCTTGTTCCATTTTCAAACCTTTGTCTGCCTTTTCCTTCTCTCTTCCCATTTGCTACAATGACTGTGGTCAGGCCAAGCTTTTAGGAAAGCTGCTGACAGCCAAACCTCCAAGAAGGAAGACATTTATCAATCAAACATTTATCAAGCCTCTGCAGAACCCTGTGTTGTTGTACATGTCTCCTGTACTGTGTACAGAACAATACCCTAGGAGTGCTGAGGGAGGAGAACACATACTCAGTCCTTCATACATTAAATGGGCACCTTGAATGTCTGGGATCATAGGTGATGTTAGTGTGGACAGGGACCCCAGAACTTCCTGCAGCATAAATGAAACGGACCACTTACTCTCGGAGTTTCTTCCCATCTTCAGTTAGCTTCTCTCCAGCAAAAGTGAGATGGTATGTTCTCCATATATATGACCTGAAGACCTCCCCAAGAATTTAAGGGAGTAAAGTCAAACATCAGAACTCAATGGAAAGGTAAGCAATGCCTGCTACCAAATACAGATCCCAAAGGACTCCTAACTATAGTTTTCCTCTATAGAGTAATACCATTTAAGTGTCCCTATTTGTCAGAGGAAAGAGACCCTGGAATAAACTAATAAACATTAGCTCTTCCCTAGGATCCTAGAGCTAGAGAACCTAGCTTTAAGAGGATCCTTTAGCAGCCTATCTTCACTGATATACTGTGACCACTATCTCAAGTAATTCTAAAGATCAAGAATTTCAAGTAAAAGAATCTTAGAGGTGGTCCAGTTCAAATTCTCACCTGGTAGAATCCCTTCTACATTTCATAGAATATTAGGGAGGACCTTTGAGTTCAATCCTCATTTTACAAATGGAGAAACAAGCCCAGAGATGGAAAGTAACTTTCCCAAGATCACACAGTGGGTTAGTGGCAGAGCCAGAATGATAAACGAGGTGCCCCAAATCCTAGTTTGCTGTTCAAAAATTATTCTCAAAGCTTGGTGGGGCCATAGAGGTCAGCTAGTCCAACCTCCTACCCAATACAGGCAACTATTTTTCAGCCGGGGAGGGGGGGGGGGGGCCCTGCACGGAAGGGTATCACTGAGTTTCTGCTTGGACACCCATAGTGATAGTGAGCATATCATCATATCAGGCAAGGTAGCCTTCTCTATATTAAGAATTTCTAATTATTTGATTATCCTTTTTTAAATTTATTTTTTATTTTTATTTTTTTATTTTTTAGGCAACTGGGCTTAAGTGACTCACCCAGGGTCACACAGCTAGTGTCAAGTGTTTGGTCTGAGGCCGGATTTGAACTCAGGTCCTCTTGACTTCAGGGCCAGTGCTCTATCCATTGCACCACCTAGCTGCCCTTTGTATTGTATTGGGGTTTTTTTGCTTCTTTTTTTTATGGTGAGGCAATCAGGGTTAAGTGACTTGCCCAGGGTCACACAGCCAGTAAGTGTTAAGTGTCTGAGGCTGGATTTGAACTCAGGTCCTTCTGACTCCCAGGCCAGAGCTCTATTCACTGAGCCACCTAGCTGCCCCATTATTTGATTATTCTTTCTGAGGTTGATCTGATATCTACATCTACCTCTTTGTCAAAACTTCCACTCCTACTCAAGCTAGGGGTCAAAGAAAAGATGATAAATCCTCTTTACTTTGACAACTCACCAACTGATATGCTGTATGCCTCCTTCCCGCTCCTGTTTGAGCTGCACATATCTCTGGATAGCCTTTTTTAGGTCCAAGGTTGTGGCATTTTGCACCACCACAACAGCTGAAATGTGGATACAGATAAAGTGTGTAAAAGTTCCCAATAGGCAACCTGCCCTGTCTACCTTATTTATCTTTAACCCAACTGCCCACAATGGGCTAGGGCTCTCCAGGAGGGAGAGGAATTGTGCCTCAGAGACTGCTGGGGAAGAAGTGGGCAGGAATCTTGGGACCCAGACGTGTTAAAACACTTCCACTGACTTTATTAGTCCTTGAGACACATTCCTTCCCCTCTCCAGTGTTAGCCTACTCTGTGTTTCATCCCCTCAATATTAATTTTTCAGCACTTAGCAAGTCTCACAAATCATTACAATAGACAAATATAAATGTTAAATATCTCCATGGTAGTAAAAAAAAGTATAATTAAGAAGTCCTTACGCATCACTTCTCCATCCACTTTGCAAACTCTGACAGTCATTGCTTGGCCATATTCCAGAGCTATCTGAGAATTTATCTCCTCCAAAGTGACCTAGAACACAATAATAACCAATTAGAGAAAAAAGATCATAGGATTTGAACTTAGAAAGGTTTTTGTAGATTATCTGGTAAGTGAGGCCCAATTTCTTTAAGGTTTACAAGGGACCCTCTTCACAAGAAGCCTATAAGGTAGACAGATCAAGTATCATTATCTTCATTTCAGAGGAGAAAACTGAGATTTTGGAAGGTTAAGGGGATTATATTTTACACACCTGATTTTAAATGGTAACACAAGTTTTTGGCACTTTCCACTGTGTTAGGCTGACAAAATAAGAGAGAGCTGAGCAGCAGCCATAGGCAGCTCCTGGCCTGTCTGACGCACACAGTACACAAACTCTACCTCTCATTTACTCAATTACACAGAGCTCACAAGCTAGAAATTCCAGAATCCACTTGGCTCCACTTATAGTTTTTGACTTATACTGCACCTCCCCCCCCATGTTTCCTTATTAGATTGTAAGCTCCCTGAGGGCAGGACCTGTCTTTCTTTGTAATTTTTGTATCCCCAGCGCTTAGCACAATGCCTGGCATGTAGCGGTCACCTAAAAGTTTCTTGAATACTTTTGACCCCTTCCTCGATAGTTACAGACATTTCAATACCTGGCAGATACTTTTCACACGTTTCTACACAGGGCCAGGGAGGAAAGGAGCCTTCGGGAGCCTGGGCTTGGGTCCTAGAGACCATCCTCATCCCCTTCCTCTCCTGCCTCTCCAACCTCCACCTTCCATACCTGGATAGGCAGGTCACAGAGCAGCGGATCCTGAACGATCATGGCGAGCCCCTCCTGAAACACATCCACCACCTCGGCGTGAGGCAGCGCCTCCTCTTCGTCATCCTCGTCTTCGCCGCCGCCGCCGCCGCCGCCGCCGCCGCTCGCAGCCTCCACCTCCTCCTTGGCGACCGGCAGCTTCTCCTCCATATCCCACTCCTCCATCTCCAAGCCTCTAAGCAAAAAACTTCCGGTGAGAGCCACCAAGAGAACACCTGAGAAACTGTGGAGAGAAGGGCGGGACTGCCGAAGAGGCTGCTGGGTAACGGCTATTGGTGGAAAGAGGGGGCGGGGCTTCCAACGGGAGGCTGGGGGATGGCCGTGGGTGAGAAGAGAGGGGAGGGACTGAGAAGGGGAGAGGTGGATGCAAGGACGATGGGGAACGACCATTGGTGTGGGGAGAGGGGCAGAGGGCCGCAGGGCCAATGGGGAACGGCTATTGGTGAAAAAGGAGGGGCGGGGATTCCCTAAGGGAGGCTGGGGAATGGACCTGGGTGAAAGGAGAGAGGCGGGGCCACTGCAAGGCCGATGGGGAACTGCTATTGGTGGGAGCAGAAGGGCGGGGCTGCAGTGGGTGAAATGAGAGCGGGCGGGGCTTATGGGGGGGGTTGCCGGCTGGCCGATGGGGCACGGCCATTGGTGGGAGCAGAGGGCTGGGGCATTTGCGGGGCGCTTGGGGAATGGCTATTGGTGGGAGCAGAGGGGCGGGGCTGTCGCGGGTTAATGAGGTCGAATCGCCGTTTGATGGTGGAGGCTGGAGAACCGCGGTGAAAATGCTGCTCTTCTGCCCGGGCTGCGGGAACGGGCTGATAGTGGAGGAGGGGCAGCGCTGCCACCGCTTCGCTTGCAACACGTGCCCTTACGTGCACAACATCACCAGGAAGGTGCGGGCGGGTCTGCTGGGGAGGAAAGGGAAGGGGCGCGTGCTGCAATGAAAAGAGCCTGGGGGCACCGTGTGGGTGTGGGTGTGGTGAGGAGGGAAAGCGTGATCTGGGACCTAGAGCTTTGGACCCGGAGGTGCAAACTCCGCCCCGGACCTTGACTAGCGGTGAGACTGGAGAACTCACCCCGGCCCTCCGAATGTGTGTCCTAAGGATCGGATTAGGCGGGTTCTGAGGACCCTTTCAGCTGTCAGTCTGTGGTCCTGACAACCTAAGCGAAGAGGAAAAGGAAAAGGAAAAGAGGAAAGTCGTCCGTGGGGTGGAGCAGGAGATTGTTCAGGGGGGTTCTCCACTTCCTCCTGGAAGAAGGAGGCCTGGGGAGACCAAGGGTGGGGGGGATAGGAAAGGGATTGTGTGAGATATAGAGTGGGAGCTGTAACAGTGCCAGGAAAATAGACTGTGGTAAGTAGAGCTAAAGTGAGGATATACAATTTAAGGTGACCAGTCAGTCAGTAAACATGGATTAAGCTGCCTACTGTGTGCCAGGAATTGTGTCAACTGATCTAACAACGCCATTTAAGGACTTTCTGAAAATATACATGTTTTCAATGTCAGAAAATTATACTGTCTCTCCCCTTTTTTTTTTTTTGGTATTTTTTTTTTTGTCTTTTTAATGACAAGTCACTTGTGTTACAAAGTGAAACCCGTTGTTGATTTTAAGCGGACACTTTTCAAACTTTAAGACATACAAATGTTTTGTCAGCCTCGTTGTTAGAGGTAAAAGAAAGGTAAAGGGGAGGACCAGCAGGAGTCTTTGAGGGCAAATGGGAAAGTTGATACTAAAAGAGTGGGATATCAAGGAGCCCTGGTTTTTCAAATAGTTGCTGGTTAAAGACTAAACCTATTAAATGGGTAAGGTGCTAAAGAGGAGAAACTAAGGGATTTTAGATTTGTCTGTTATACAACTTCTCATACTCTGTTTTTCAATCTCATGGTGACCTCCAGTCCCTCATTTCTTAATTCTTTCCCACATTGTCACTCTTGCACTAGTTATACTCTCTTGCCTTCCCCATCTTGACCCCTTTAGTGAATCAGTCCAACTCTAATGCTCATTTTCCCAACCTATTTCTTGACTTTTTTTTTTTAGGCAATTGGGGTTAAGAGTCTTGCCCAGGGTCACACAGCTAGTGAGTGTCAAGTGTTTGGTCTGAGGCCGGATTTGAACTCAGATCCTCCTGACTTCAGGGCTGGCGCTCGTTCCACTGCGCCACCTAGCTGCCCCCTATTTCTTGACTTTTAACTTTATGTTAAAGTTGGGCACTGTCGTCGGGGTGGAGTGGACACTGTCCCAAGCTTCAGGTTTTTTGGGCAGTTGTTTTCAGAGCTACTTCTGAGAGTGTGTAAGTTTTCAGTTTTTCCAAGGTAGTATGAATTAAGAAGAGGTGTGATCACTGTTCTCCTGCCCTGTCCTTTGGTCTGTGAGTAACCACAAGCACTCTTTTCTTCTCTGGAACCAGGGTCCCTGCTTCCTTGCAGCCACACACTCTAGTGTGCTAGTGCTCCTTCTTACCCTGGGACTGCGACCCAGACCTGTGTATGGGGTATGCAACAGAGTCCTGCTCTTAGTGCCAACAAAGGATCCCCTGTAATCTCCTTCTGCCGGTTGTCTGACTCCCTTACCATCTGTGGGCTGAGAGCTCTGGAAGTCAGGTTCAGTTGCCCCCAAGGCCAGCTGCTGTCCTGGCCTGGCATTGCCTGTGCTGGACTGTGCTCCACTCTCATCCTGGTGGACAGACCTTTCCTGCCAGCCTTTCACCCTGTCCTTTTGTTGGTTCTGCTGCTCCAGAATTCATTTTGAGTTGTTATTTTAGTGTCATTTGGAGGGAATTTGGGAGGGCTCAAGTGAGTCCTTGCCTCTACCCTGCCGTCTTGGCTCTGCCCTTTTACTATATACTCTTTGATCCAATGACACTGGCCTCTTTGGTGTTGCTTGTACAAGACACTCCATTTTTCACTACCATGTTTTAAAAAAAAAAATCAGTTCTCAGCTTAGCATTTTCTGCTTTCTCCCCCATTGAGGAAGCAAGGGGAAAAAATAACCCAGTTACAAACATGTATAGTCAAGCAAAACAGATTTCTGTATTAGTCATGTCTGAAAAATATGTGCCTCAACTTCTACTTTGAGTCAATCACTTGTCTATCTAGATGTGGGTAACGTGTTTCAACGTGAGTTCTTTGGAATTGTGGTCGATCATTGTATTGATCAGTGTTCCCAAGTTGTTCATAGCTGTTTGTCTTATAATATTATTGTTATTCAGGGGTGTTGGCATTTGACTCAGGATCTGATAGGTTACCTGGTCCTATCCCATGATTTTGCAGATGTGGAAATTGATAGCAAAAGAAAGGAAATGGTATGCTCAAGATCACACCTCTAGGAGAAAAGCGTAGATTCAGGCCCTGGTATTCTGACTTAACTACAATCCTCTTTCTGTTGGGTACCATTTGCTTCTTGGTTTTGATTGTCTTTGGTCTTCCCATGCTAATTTCTCTGGAGTGTCCTTATTTACACCTAAACTTCTTTTCTCCTATTTTATGGTCTCCCTTCAAGTGTCTGTGTTGACTGATAAATTTCCATCTGTTCGCTCGGTATGACTGAACCCTGTGTAGAGTTAAGTGATCTTGCTACGGCCTGGATGGGGCAGATGGGTGCCATTCTATCTTCTGGGGTTTTGATATGGTCATGTGGTTTGCTAGGTAACGAATCGCAAGTATCCAAAGCTGAAAGAAGTGGATGACGTGCTAGGGGGAGCCGCTGCCTGGGAGAATGTTGACTCCACTGCAGGTAAGAAGCAGGGCCTCCTTTCCCGGGCCCTGGCAAGTATATGAACCGCACTTGAGCCAGTGACATGGCTGCTGACCACTTCCCTTCACATCACACACTCAGAATTGTTCCTTACATAACAGAGGCCAGAGACCTTGAAATAATGTAGTGCTCAATATTTTTTTTGTAAGAGCTATTTCTCTAATACTTTAAAGTTTGCAAAGCATTTTACTTATAGCATTTCTGCTTTTTATACTGTACTACTTCTCAAAGAAAATGTACCTCTCATTCACTTTTTAAATTAAGATTAGGGAATATAAAATTTACTTTAATAAATACAACAAATGACAAATATTCTTCACTTGTATTACCTATCGCTTAAGAGAAAAAGATCAGGCTCGGGTCAGGGGGAGTGGGGGAGATAGAAGAGGAAGGGGAGTGATAATAATAGCCTCGATGTGTATCAGACCTGGGAGGCAAAGCACAAGCCCGTTTGTTAATATTTCTCTTTTAAGAAAGTATATCTGTAGATTAAAAAAAGGAAAAAACTTTGTTAGAATTTGTTATGGAAAGCTTTAATGCCTGTCGAAAGTTTGAAAGCACCAATGTTTTTGGAATTCTCTTTTCCTAAAAGGGTATTGAAAAAATTCTCAAAACAAATGAATTTTGATTAAGCTCACTTTTAAAAATACCTGCCACACAGCACTTTTTGGAGATATGGAATGTGCTGTAAAAGCTATCATTACAACATTAAGCTGCACTAAGACTTATGGGACACTCTGTATATAGCTTCTTTCCAGTCCTTACTTTATAATTAAGCCCTCAGCCTTGTGGCATAGCATCTCTGCTGGCCTTGTAGGATAGCATCTCCACTGGCAACGTGAGCAGGGGCTTGGAACAGTGCTTCCAAATTGAGGTAGTTGATGTCATCATTTCTCAGTTGGGTCTGAATGCTCTGAACTTTGATTTGGCTTTACACATTGTCCCTTTTCCAGGTATCTTCTGGTCAGTGGTGGGGGAAAAGCCAGTTTTATTTCCTTGCTTTCCTTGGTATTTTTATTTCTGTAAAGGCTGAAGTAGGGGGATGGTCCTAAGGTGGGATTAAGGCCTCCCGGAAAGTCCACAGCGCAGTCCACCTTTGCCCCATGGTGAGTGGTGCCCTTCACTGAGAACCAGTTGGTTTCCTGGTTGGGCATAGAACAGAGCAGAAACGACAAAGATAGCGTCAGGAGCTGAGCCAGGCCTCTCCCTGTCGCCTCTCAGGCCACACTGGCGTTTGGTGCTCATCGCCAGTACAGAAAGGACACCTCAAAGGCACTTGTTTAATAGTGGGCCAGTAGTATTTTTGTATGAGAAGGAAGAAAGGACTTTTAAAATTAAGTTTGATGGCGCATTTATTTTCCTCTGCAGAGCCGTGCCCCAAATGTGAACACCCTCGAGCCTACTTCATGCAACTTCAGACTCGTTCTGCGGATGAGCCTATGACTACTTTCTACAAGTGTTGCAATGCACAATGTGGACATCGCTGGCGGGACTAGGCCCACATGCCCACTGTTCCCTGGTTGCTGTGTGACTCAGAGATAGCTCCCAGTTGGGAATGTATATTATGTAACATATGGAAATAAATGGTGGAAATCTTTTGTGTGGCAGTAAGCTAATTTTCTCTTGGGAACTGTGGTCCAAGAGGAAGGAAACAATGAACAGCCTAATGTACTGGACAGAATTGGCCTCGCTAATGTGGAATCCAGGGATACCCTCATTTAATGGAGTTGTTCATTGATTCCTTGAAAACAATACATTAGGCAAAACGTAGGAGGCACTAAGTTCCATAGAAACAGTTACAATTTGTGAGATATGTAGCCAAATTCAGAATATAAAAGCTTAACATTTTTTTTAAAGACTTGAAACTATTGAAAACTATTACTGGTTTTCCTCTCTACAACGTGCCCCTTCCTTGCTCGAGAGATACAGATAAGTGAGGCAAAGGCAGGGACGAGTGGCTCCGCACTTATCGCTCAGTCAGTGCAGTAGTTGGGGAGGGTGAAAGGGCCCCATCAGAGTAGGACGAGGTCTGCGTTATCCTTCCCAATTCTACTTGTAGGCAGGACCTGATTTTGCTGATAATACTGTAGATCTAGCAACTATTTACTGAATGGCCTAAGTATTAAAAGCTTTCTGTTGCAATATTTTCTATTTTCTGCCAATTTAAAAGTGGGAGTGGAGGGACTTTATATTTCATTTTTTTCCCTCTGGGTTTTACTTGATTGTGATAGAGCATTACAATTTATTAACATTATTTTGAAATAATTCAGTAATTCAATTCAACAAAGATTAAACACTATGTACATGACAATGTGCTTCATGTTGGGGATAAAATCCAAATAACTACCCTCAAGAGCCTGACGTTGTTTTTGGGGGATAAAACATGATCAAAAAAGTCTAATACAGGTAAGAGAAGCTTTCATGAAAGTAAAATGGTATAGTTTCCATGGCTGGCATGGTGGACTTGAAGTGTTTGAATCCTGTTCCTGATGCCTGTTAGCTGGGTGATGACACACTTCTCAGAGCCTCAGTTTCTTCATAGGCAAAATGAGAATAATACTATCGGTTATACCCACCCTACAGGGTTGTTGGAAGGCTCAAATGAGACAATAGGAGTAAAGATCTTTGCAAACTTTAGAGCATTAAAGTTTAGAGCCTTTGTTTTATAAATGGGGAAAATGAGGTCTGGAGATGATAATTTTCTTGCTCACAGCTGAGCATCTAATTAGAAGCAGAGCTGGGGCTAGCATCCAAGTCTTTGGACTCTGCTAACCTTTTTCATTTTACCAAAGTCTTAGATAATTATCCTATTAAAGCATCCTTATTGCATTGTAAAGCAATTGGGGGAAAAATTTTGTTCCCTTAATAAGGTGAACATTTCCTCTAATTTTCATTTCTTTAAGAAATATAGATGTATGAATCTATGAAGTCCTGAGTTGAGTTTTCACTATATTTTCTTTTAGCATTTGTTCTTTGAGGTGATTGTAAACAACATAAGATTAGAGTAAATGTTTATGGAATCAAAGAGAATGGGTCCTTAGTACTAGTGAAACTAGCAGACTTATCAGTCTGTTAACACTGACTTCATTTTTGGATTTCAAAAGATTCCACTCATTTAATTAGTCTGAGTCCTGTTGGGAAGTAAGTGGTTCACGTGACTCAGCAATTTTCACCTAACAGCTATAAGCTAGCAGCCTATTTTCATATATCCTGTGAAAAAAATCCCTGGGTCTCTCCTAATTTCCTTTTCTTTTTATTATTTTCTTTTATTTTCTTAGTTTTTAACATTAACTTTTATAAGATTTTGAGTTCCAAATTTTTTCCCCATCTCTCCCCTCTCCCCCAAGATGGCATGCATTCTGATATAGGCTATACATATACAATCATATTAAATATATTTCCACATTAGTCGTGTTGTGAAAGAAGAATCAGAACAAAAGGGAAAAACCACGAGAGAAAAAAAAAACAAAAGAATAGTGTGCTTCAATCTGCATTCAGACTCCATAGTTCTTTCTCTGCATGTGGGTAGCATTTTCCATTGTGAGTCTTTTGGAATTGTCTTAGATCGTTGCATTGCTGAGAAGAGCTAAGTCAATCAGAGCTGGTCATCACACAGTGTTGCTGTTATTGTGTACAATGTTCTCCTGGTTCTGCTCGCTTCACTGCATCAGTTCATGTAAGTCTTTCCAGGTTTTTCTGCTCATTTCTTATAGCACAATAGTATTCCATCACAATCATATATGACAACTTGTTTAGCCATTCCCTAATTGATGGACATCCCCTCAATTTCCAATTTTTTGCCACCAGAAAAAGAGCTGCTATAAATATTTTTATACATGTGGGTTCTTTTCCCGTTTTTATGATCTCTTTGGAATATAGACCTAGAAGCAGTATTGCTGGGTCAAAAGTTATGCATAGTTTTATAGCCCTTTGGGCATAGCTCTAAATTGCTCTCCAGAATGCTAACTCCTTTTTCAACAAGTTGCTTGTATATCCCCTTGCTAGAGGCTATAATTCAAAAATAAAAAAAAAAACTTCTACCTTAGGAGGATAGGTTAGCTTAGCATTGTTGTATAATAATAATAACCTGCATTTATATAGTCCTATAGCATTTGCAGAAGGCTCTCATAGTTATCTTTTAAGGTAGCTGTTGCAAGTCTTATTCCTGCTTTATAAATGAGGGAAGTAAATTTTAGAGAGTTAGAGTAACTTACTCAAGGTCATGCAGCTAGTCTTGGAGCTGAGGTTGCCCGTGTGCTGTTTAGACTGTGAGGTTGAGCTGGACACAGGATACTGTACAGTAGGAGAGCAGAAGACCGGTGGGGTTAATTAGAAGGTCTAGTCTAGGCAGCCTCAAGGTCACCTGTGGCCCTCTGGGTCTTCAAGTGCAGCCCTTTGAATCCAAACATCACAGAACAAATCCTGAGACGATGGGAGAACAAATCTTTGTGGCCTCAAGGTCACAGGTTCCCCCGCCCTGGTTATTGCCTCAGGATTACAGAAGTGTATTTTGACAGTAAATCCCAGTCCAGAGAAAATACCAGTCAGTGAAGGAAGAAAGAACTGATAATTTTTCCCAGAGTTAAGAAAGAAGGGCTAGTGGAAAAGTAGATCTGTCCATTCTTGATCTCCACAGTGCCAGGGTCACATACTAAAGACTTCTCCAGCCCCACTTATGGGAAAACTGGTAGAGCAGAAAGGCAGGATGATACAGTGGAAAGGCTGCTGGGCCTTGGAATCTGAAGAGCTTAGTTGGAGAATTGGCTCCACCACTTAATGGAGGGACACCTGGAATTGGAGTCAGAAGGCCCAAGTTCAAGTATTGGGTTTGCTACCTACTAGCTGTGTGACCTGAGGCAACTCAACTCCCCTCTATAAGACTAATTCATCATCTGTAAAATGGGGATATGTTTTAAATTTAAAATTCATTTTTATTTATTTTCATGAAGATCTGTAGGAAGATCTCTCTTCCCTCTTCCTCCACAATTGAGAAATCAAGAAAGACCAAACCTCACTAGAAACCTAGATGTGAAATGAGAATAGTAATATGGGTACCGTCTGCCTCACAGGGTTGTTGGGATTAAATGTGTTCATGCCTTTTGAAGGTGCTTTGTTAACCCTGAGGCATTAGGTAAATATGTTATTATGGGGAAGTTCAAGTATCTGTACTGCCTTCCTTCCAGGATTGATAGGATTGTGCATTGTAAGCCACAAAGTCCTCTACAAATGTGAGTCACTATTATCCTGTTTCCTGAAGAATAAATATGGGGATGATTGAATAAATAGGTGGTTGGTTTGTTTTTTTTCATAGCCCGTAAAGGATGCCATGTAGTAATATGTACTGACCACTAGGTGGTACAGTGGATAGAGTCAGGGAGACCTGAATTCATATCCTTTGCCTCAGATTCTCACCCCAAGATCCTGGGCAGCCAGTTAACCTCTATCTGCCTCAGTTTCCACTCCTATAAAATGGGGATGATAATGGCACCTAGCTCCCAGGGTTGTTTTGAAGGTAAAGTGAGGTAATATTTATATAGCTCTGCAAACCTTAAAGCACTGTATATATGCAAGCTATTATGTGTTTATGTATATTTAATTCTTTTTTAGAATACACATTTGCTTTTTTTTTTACAAAGTATTTACCAAAGAAGCAATTTTACCAAGAAGCAATGTTTGCATTTTTTAAAGGAAGATTTAGATATTGTTTTTATTATCTGTATTTATTATATTGTTAATACATTTAAAAACAGATATTGACTTATTGCATTTCTGGTCATCTTACAGTTTCTTGAATTGTGCCACAAGCAAATTGTCATGAATTTAATTCTGTGACCAAATCTCTTGTGATGTTTAAAATGTTTCGTGTTGCACCAGACATTAGGAATTAAAACGTTGAGGCAGAATTAGGGATCTGAATTTAGGCTCCGGCTAAGAAGCCAGAGACGTGGAATACAATTTTACAGCCAGATTAAGAGCCATCTGTAGGTGATTCTATAGCATAACTCTTCTAAAATATTTTGGATTGCGAGTGAGTGATAACAAATGAGAGAGGTCAGTGTCAGCTATCAACACCCAAGCATTCTCTTTCCTTTCTCAGGGAGTTCAATGCTTAGCTCACAGTCTTTTTTCTACCCCAACTCCTGCTTGACTATGTTAAACTTCAATACACATATTGATACTTCCTCAAATTCCCTAACTTGCCAGTGCCTCAGTCTACTCCTGTGACCCTGCAGAGATGGTCATACCTTTGAGCTTATCATCACACAGGTGTTCCACTTCCATGTTCATGATCTCTGAAATTCTGATGATAATATTTTGTTATTCCATCTTTCCTTATGCCTTACAACCCCTTACCCTGTCACCCTCTTAGCTGAGGATCTCACTTCATACTTCACTGAAAAAATTGAGGCTATTTGTCCAGAGCTCTTCTTTCCTCCTCATACCATTATTCAGATGCCTTCCCCTACAATTTCCTCCTTCACCCTTGTCTCAGGTTAAAAACAGACACACACACAACCCCCAACCCTTCTTCCTAAGGCAAACCCTTGCAAAGTATCTTTAATCTCATCCCATCCCATTTTCTCCAGCAGACTGCCCC